CTATTTGTGCTACAAGAAATGATGAACAGGCTGACTTCAGAAAAACCTGGAAAGACTTGTATGGACTGATGCTGAGTGAAATGAGCAGAACCAAGAGAATGTTGTACACAATAACAGCCACGTTGTACGATGACTAATACTGATAAACTTAATCCTTCCCAGCAATACAAGGATCTAAGACATCTCCAAAGGTCTCATGATGGAAAATGTTATCCACATCCAAGGAAAGAACTATGGAATTTGAATGCAGATCAAAGCATACTATTTGCTACTTTTTTTCTTCTGTTTTGTTTCTTCTTTCTGGTGGCTCCTCCTATTGATTCTAATTCTTCCTTACAACATCACTAATATGAAAATATATTTAATAGGAATGTATATGTACAGCCTATATCAGATTGTGTGCCGTCTTGGGGAGGGTGGTGGGGAGGAAGGGGGAGAAAAATTTTAAACTCAAAAGCACATGGAAGTAATTGTTGATAAATCAAAATAAATTAATTTTAAAAAAAAGAAAATAGAAAAAAATGAATTGGTTGATATGCTTATCACTATACTAAATACAGCAGTAAAACAAAAAAAAAACCCCTCTTATATTTAAATTTTTAAAAATTTTATGCTTTTATGATTTTTTACTTGCCTGCTATAAAATAGTTAACAGAAAAATAATTTGGCTTATTTATTTAATGTTTTATGAAATTCTCACGAATAATTCAAGAATAACCGTTGAGAAAATGTATATTAATATTATGTAAGTAAAATAAAAGTTTTATGAATAGATCGCTATACCTTCCACCTGCAACCTCCCAAAAGACATCTTAAATAAAGAACTGAGTACATGATATATCATTTAATGCCCTGTGAATTTCAGAGTTCCTGCCCCTTTCAGCTAAGAACACTATGATCTATTTAATCTTTAATGAGACACATTATAAGATTTAAATTTTTAAAAAATCAACAAGCAATTATTAAGTGCTTAATATGTGGTAGGTGCTAGTGATTCAAAGGATATTGTATTTATTCTAAACACTGGTTAAAACTCAATAGGCCTAGTTGACACATGTGAAGACTACAAAGAAACCATATTGCACTGGAAAATAATGATTTTCATCTTCATTTTTTGAAAAATATTTTATATTTGTGCAAGAATATTAATGGTTGACAGTTTTTATAGAATCAAATGTTAACATGGTCCCATGGACACATCAATTTGCAAAAGAATATCTAATGCATCCCGACAGGAATATTTACATCTTTCCAAAGGAGGAACACGTTTTAAGTTATCCTTTTTATATGAAATTGATATTTTGTTTTTAAATGACTCATCATATTTATAGCCTTGGAAATGTTTTATTAATATAAATCTTCAAAGAATAACATGCTTATACACAGTAAATTGAATAATGAAGCAAATTGGCATGAACCAAGGCTTCTTTTTGCTACTACTGAAGTAGATGCTCAAATGTATTTAGATGGAAATCATAAAACTGGAGAATCCTGCTTTTGCTAATAATTTTTTTTTTATCAAAAACATATCAACAACAACGCTCAGGATCAACATTAGAACAAGTACTATGATCTGGATAGCAGCCACATTGTTAGACTATTAAAAAATCATCTTATCTCTCAATATTAGTGTCTGTAGTGTCAAGTTAATCATTATTATAAACTCAGACTCCTTATAGATCCAACTGGTAAGGCAGAATTTTTAAAAAATGTAATATGAAAGGGAAGTCAAAATGTGAAAAGACATCCAGAGAAAGAGCCATGGAGTCTGAATGCAGATTGAAGAATACTATTTTCACTTTCTTTGTTGTTTTTTGTTTTCTCTCCCTCAAGGTTTTTCCCTCTTATTCTGATTCTTCTTTCACAATATAACTAATGTGGAAATATGTTCAACATGACTGCACATGTATAACCTGTATCAGATTGCTTGATGTCTTAGGAAGGGTGGAAGGGAAAAAAATTTGGAACTCAAAATCTTACAAAAATGAATGATGAAAACTATCTTTACATGTAATTGGGAAAAAAAATACTATTAAGTTAAAAAAAAAAAGTATTGGTTAAAATTGTACCTTGGAGCAGCATCACAGCAACTGGATGAAAAACAAAAGTAGGGGCAGCTAAGTGGCGCAGTGGATACAGCACCGGCCCTGGAGTCAGGAGGACCTGGGTTCAAATTTGACCTCAGACAAAACACTTGACACTTACTACTACCTGTGTGACCCTGGGCAAGTCACTTATCCCCAACTGCCTAAATTTAAAAAAAAAAAAAAAAGATAAAAGGATCAAGGATTTTACTTTAATTCCTTCATAGTGGGAATTACATCTGTAATGTCTGTTTTTGCACCTACCACTCTCTTCTTAATCCCTTCCACGTGAGTACTTCAACAGTGGGATTAAAATTTAATAAAATATACACAAACAAGAATTCCAAGCAGTTTATTTGTAAAGCAACTTAAGTTTCCAAATGAGCCAAAATAAACAAGGAAAAAAAAAAAGGATTCTCTTGGGGCTCAAACAGTTTTAGACCAGAATCTTCCAGGACCTGAGCTATCTGAAGAAGCAGCTTAGAATAGTGAACAGTGCTGGTCATGTAGTCATAGAGGCCATCATTTACATCTAGTCTCTCAGCACTTACTAGATATGTGTATTTTGTATTATATTTAATATTTAACATAACATATAAAATATAATACAATATGTAACAAACACTATAATATAATTTAGTATAATTTTATTATATTTAATTGTATTTCATTTTCCATGCATGTATTGTTAAAATCTCCTATAAAATGTAACCTCTCTGAGGGCAGAAACTTTGTTCTTGTATCCCCACACATATGCCTTAATAATGAACTGAATTGTAAAACTGTTGAGGGCTGGCACCATGACCTTTTTCTTTTCACCCCATAGTGCCTGCCTTATTATTGCATATGTAAGATATGCTTAATAAATTGACTAATTACAAAAATATCTATTCAATAGTATATGTTTTAAGGTAGAGAAAATGAGAACTCAAAGTCAGAGCCCGTAACTTTATATGTAGAAAAAAAGAAGCAGACAGGTTAAATGATTTGTACAGACCCACAAAGTGACCAGGAAGTGGAAGGCGGGAGGATCTCAACCCAGGTCTTTTCTCAGTCTCCAAATCCTGTGGCCTCTCCCCTGTAATCACATTATCTCCTGTGCCTTAGAAACACAGGTATAACATGGTGCCTAATGTCTTGAGATGATTTAAAAATATTATTTCAACACACTATCAGAAAATTAAGTAGGGCAAGACTGCAGTAGGACACCTTTGAGAACAAAAACAGAGAAATGATACTGTCTTCTTTTGAGGTTTTTTCCTCTCCTGGTTTTCCTTTCTCTAACTGATTGCTCCTTCTCTGTGTCCTTTGCTGGATCCTCATCGAGATGATGGCCTCTCACTATAGATGTCCTTCAAGGTTCTTTCCTGGGCCCTTTTCTCTTCTTCAGCAATACTACTCATCTTGATCTTGTTAGCTCCCAGGGATTTAATTACCATCTTTAAGCTCATGACTTTCAAAATCTACCTATTTGCAAATTCTGCCCCAATCTCTTGTTGACCTCTAATCTACCTTCTCCAACTGCCTGTCAAACATCTCAAACTGCATGTCCAGTAGATATCTTAAACTCAATATGTCCAAAATGAAACTCATTATCTTTCCCCCAAAACTAAGCCCTGCTCCTACCATCTCTTATTTGTGAAGGGCAACACTATCCTCCCAGTCTCTTATGCTCACAAACTTAGGATTCATCTGGACTCCCACAGCCCTGCCCACAACAACCCAAAATCTTGCCAAGGCTGCCAATTTCACCTTCACAACATCTTTCAAATATGCCCCCTTCTCTCCTTTAACTCTGCCACTAGTGCAGGCCCTCATCAACTCATGCCTGGACTATTGCATAAACCTGCTGTTAGGGATGCCTGCCTCAAGTCTCTCCCCACTCCAATTCAGCTTCTAAATGATTTTTTAAAGTGCAGGTCCAACCATATCATACTCCTAACTCAATATATTTACTCCAGTTGTAACCTGAAGGATCAAATACAAAATGCTATTTGGCATTCAGAGCTCTTCATAACCTAGCCACCTCCTACCTTTCCACTCTTCTTACACAGCTCCATCAACAGTAGATGCTCATTTTCCCACAGCCTCTCCAACATTTGTCATTCTTTTTTGTCATTTTTGCCAATAAGGTAAGTATGAAGTAGAACCTCAGTTACTTAACTTTCCATTTCTCCCCTCCCAATTCTCCTGAGCTATGTCCCAAAGAGATCAAAAGAAAGAAGAAAATGAGGCAAATGTAAAAAAGATGTTTGCAGAAGCTCTTTGTGGCAAAAAGCCCGAAATTCAGGGTGTATCCATCAAATAAAAAATAGTTTTAAAAAATTATAGAAATGAACATAATTGAAAGGAATAATTATAAAGAAACCTACAAAGAAGTATGAACTGATACAGTGAAGTGTGTAGAAGCTACAGGGCAATTTATATAATAATACTATAAACAAAATTTACTTTGAATAACACTGATCAATACAATAACCAACCATGATTCCAAAAGGGAGATAATAAAGCCTAATGCAGAAAGAGAAGTGATAGAATCAAGACAAAGAATGAGACAGAAATTTTTACGTGACTAATGTGGAAATTTGTTCTGTTTAAATGTGAACTTAAGATTAAAACTTAGTTTTACATATGCAATTTTGTAACAGAGTTTGATTTATCTTTTTATTTTCCCAATGGGGGAAGAGACTACTAAAAAAGTAAGAGTTAAAAAACATAAATGCCTGTTAACTGAAGGTAAAAACGAAAATATAAGTTGCATTAAAAGAGAAAGTACTGAGTACACTACGGCCTTGCATCTGGAGTTATTACTATGGCAAAATGAATTGTCAGTTTTTTAGGTTGTGTAGATACAGATAGTTGGAAGTAACCCTATACTTGTTTCCTTCCTGGAATAGTTACATAATAACAACATACCTTTGGATTTTTGCCCTCTTTGGCCAATAAGGCACGAAGCCTTTCTTGTGAAGGTGGTGCAATGAAGATAATATATGGCTTCAAGTCTGAATTCCGAAGGCTCTTCAATGACTATAACAGGAAAAAATAAAGTGTGTATACAGATATACATACATTTATATATTTAAATATATACACAAGAAAACATTTTTTTAGCCATTCTTTACTCTTTTCCCAATTGTATCCTTCAAATACATTTCTCAAATAGATTTTTTTGTGAACAACTTTAAAGTGGAGGTTTTTTCATTGTACTAAAAATCTCTTAAGATCCAATGTTCGAAATGGGGGATGGGGGGAAGAGAGGGAAAGGATGAGTGGGAGGAAAATACCCGCTCATTAGATAAGGTACTATTCTATTGAAATATTGAAATGAAATCAATGATATCAGATAATGCCTGACAAAAATCTGGGCAAGATGCTAATATCTTTGTAATTACAAGATATACAATTTAACTAAACCATAATTAAAACCCATTTTTGCTAGATTCTGTACATAAAAATTGTTTTACTAGTCTTTATGTACTGGACATAGTGAAATACCTAAAAGAAAACTGAAAACTAAACACTAAAAAGAAGGCAGAGGAAACTCTAGAAAATCAACTCTGATAGAAAGCACAGTGTATTCTTAATTAAGAGATTTAGGTCTTAATTCTGGCTTTGTCACTAATTATGTAAAATTAAACTAAATGCATCAACTTTTTCACTATGTAAATGAGGACATTACATGGCCTTTTTTTACCTCAAAAGGTTATTATAAGAATAACTGAAACACAATGAGGCATTCTGAGTTCTTTCAAGGCTTCTGGGTCTAAGGCAAAATGTTTAAGCAGAGATACAAAATTTGAACACTTGCCTTTGATTCAATGAACATATACAGTCAGGAGGCCAAAGAAAGATCCCATAAATTTATACATGTATGTATGCATACATGGATACACAGACACATAAAGATATAAATATACATACGCATATACATGCATTCTTTTTATCAGCACTTCAGTGATAACAGAAAAAAATAAAGAAAAATGTGTATTCATAAACTAGAAAATATGTAAACAAAGTAGTATATGACTAGAATGGAACACCAGTGCATAATAAGAAATGAATTCAGATAAACATGGAAGACTTGCATAAATCAACAGAGTGAATTAAAAACAATAAATAAATTCAACTACAAAAATATAAATAAAAACAACACTGAAAACCAATCAAACTCAGGTTAACTGCAATGAATAATCTTGGGCACAGAAAATAAATGAAGCAGCATATTTCTACTCAAGTGGAAATGTTGCTGTCAGACATTGTTATGGAATGGGGAGGGGTACAAGTAAGAAGCTATTGGAAAACGATCCTTATTTTTAAAGGGGGGAATAAATGAAACTTTGAAAAGATTCCATCTTGAAAAGGGACACTTTTATTAGTATTAAGTGCATAATGGTTAAGAAGATACTAATATCTGAAAGTTTACTATTTTGGAATTAGCATCAGTAACACAGATGTAGGCATTAAGTCTTATCACACAAGCCAATGAGCAACTAATTGATTTACAAATAGCAATAAAGAAGGGGTTATATGAAAGAAAGCTAATAGGTCTATTTACCCAAGTCTCCCTCCCTTACAGGTATAAAACTAATAGGTTTATTTAGCCAAGTCTCCCTTATAGGTATGACACAGTGGCAAAAAATACTGAACTTGGAGTCAGGATAGATTTGGGTTGGAATCTCATTTTTGATGCTTACTTTCTGTGTGACCATGAGTTTCCTCATCTATAAAATGGGTATAATAAATGAATACCTATTTGATAGGTTTGCTGTATAGAACAAATGAGCTGATTTATGTTTTGTAAACCTCAAAATGTTACCTGATGTCAACTATTGTAATTTTTTTTTAAGGTCATCACCTGAAAAATGTCAAGCACAAAAAGATGATACAGCATGGTAGTAAAATGGAACATACCTGCTTTTCATGATGATATCAAGTTCACCAGTACATATACTTTTAACAGACACTAAAAATGGATAAGGTGGATCCAAAATTAACTAAGGAATGGGCTCAAATTATACTGCTTTGGAAACAAAGACCCATATATGGCTGTCAATTCTCGAACACTAAGGTCTTGGGGAAAAATAAATGTCACATAATGGCAATGGAGAGATGTATAGTGGTTATGAAAATCCTGTACTGTATCACAAGTAAGAAAATCAGAGGATGGAATTAAGAATATTATCAGAGAAATTTAAATCTAAAAAAGATGATGAGGCAGACACAGATATAGAGATTCTGAGCGCTCTAACTCTACCTTTGTGATCTTTAAAAAAAACTGAGGAAAAGCTCCACAATGATGATTGGCACCCCCACTCCCATCAAGTTATGGAAAAAGATGGACAAGAGTTGCATGGAATGGTGCTGGAATGCAACAAATGTAGAGAACATGAAAAGTGATGAGCTCACAGATTTTCTTTATTTGCAGCCAGATTTACAGGGTTTACTGGACTCACCATGACTTCTTAACCCAGGGATTAGGATACTTTTTTCTTCAGTATTTACTGAGGGAAACTGAATCACAGAACGCAAATCAACATTTCAAAACCATATATAGAGGGTGGAGAGGGAGAATAATGATAAGGGTGGGGAAGTGGGGGAAAGATAAACAATTATATATAAGTTGATAGTGTTCAATTAAACACATTTTTAAAGAAGATAAATTTTTGAAGATGTTTTCATTCCTGGCTTAACCTAGTCAATTATCAAAAAGGCCTCTGATTCAGTCATTATAGATCACCCCTCCACTAATGTGGATAGCAGTCTTTCCAGATCTCAACAGGATGGTCTTCATGTGGTACAGTGCTTCTACCCCAATCACCAGGTCACCAGTCTTTGATAAGCTTTTATGCATTTATCTCAGATGGTCCTCAGCAACAACCCATTGCTAGACCCATTTTATTTTTTCAGCTGAGAATGACCAGTTAGCCTTTGTGTTTCATGGGTATAAACTTTTGAGAATCCAGGCTCTCCTCCACACTGTTAAGAAATACCACAGGACCATAGAGCTTTGGACCTAGAAGAGACCTTCAAGGCTATCAATTCTAACCCCTTCATTTTCCAGATGAGGAGAATGAGGTACAGAAAGTTTAAATGACTTGCCAAAGGGTCACACATGTTAAGAGTTTGACGTGAGATTTGAGCCTAGGTCTTTCTGGCTCCAAGTTCAGCCCTTCTCCCCAGTACAAAGCTGCCTGGCAGCAAGACTTTCCTGGGAGATTTGTGAAGAATTTTAAGGAGGTAGTATGATATAATGGACTGGGCTCCTATTTCATAGCAATTATTGACATGCCACTTAATTGCTCTGAATCTCACTTTTCTGATCTACAAAAAAGATAATGATAGCTATCATACTTACCTAAAGGTTGGTTGTAAAGGCTTAAGGACCATGTAGAGAGTTTTGCAAACATTAAAACTTGACATAACTATAATTTGTTAATACCTATAAACTTATACTTGTGATTTGGTTGGAGTTTTAAGGACAACCAGCTACAATTTTGTAGGAATTCTGATGATGAGAAGGGCAGGGCAATGAGAGCATCTCTAAACACAACGCAAAGTCTTATTTTATTTATTATAAATTTTGGCAGGGGATGTGAATTGGGAAACACTATGGAGACCATGGCCATTCATTTGAGTTTCTGTCACCTTGTTACCCTTTTATGATTAATCAACAAGCATTTATTAAAAGACTGCTATATACCAAGCACTGTGACAGGCACTGAGGAGGATACAAATACCCCCCCCCCACACACACACAGTAAAAACAAATAAATGTAGGTAGTTAGGGAGGGAAAGCACTAGCAGTTGCAGGAGGGTGTGTCAGAAAAGGCTTCAAGTACAAGGTGATGACTATTTGGGTTCCTAACCAGATGCTTTTTTCCTAGTAGACAATACTTCATGAACTTGAAGGAGAAAAAAATTAACATGTCAGCACATCTGGATAACTGAAAGGTTAAAAATTCTAATTTTACCTGTGTATGAAGATTTAAAAGGCATATCTTGCCTGAGTTGATTACTTGTCTCACAGAATCTATGCTGGTACCATACAAATTTTTCTCAAATTCACCATGTTCGATAAACTTTCCAGTAGCTACATCTGCCTCAAAAGCTTGTCGTGAAATGAAGTGGTAATCTCTGCCAGCTACTTCATTGTCTCGTCTACTCCGAGTTGTATCTATGTAATAAAATCGATATCACTAATATTAAAATTTTTTAAAACACAGATAGAAGTAAAAAAAAAATCAATTTGTAAATTCAAGTCTTACCATATAAATTTTTAATACTTTTAGACTAATGAATAAGGCTAAATAGGTAATATAATTCTTATTTTCATTCTCTTAATATAAAATTCATTTTATACATAAAACTGAGTCACTTTATACTTTTGCAATAATATCTCCCTCCAAAATAGTCATTTTCCTTCTCTAAGGTCCACTTCCCTGAGTTTATCTACTGTATAATTTGCCCTGGATGCTTATATGGTCAGAAATATTGTAACCTATGCTTTTAACAGTACCTACTGACCCAATCTTAAGGACAAAAAAGCAGCTTTTTGACATGGAACATAACAGTTATCAACACTTTTTTAAGACTTAAAATGGGAAATGCAGCTTATACATTAAGGAAAAAATTTAAGGATACAGAAAATGGAAATTCATTTACTAGAATACAAGTAGCACTGTGTTTAGGAAAAAGCACATTCCATTCACTCTTGGAGCAACATTTTCCAAGTAACTTGGTTATAGTTAAGGCTACCCCTGAAACAACTTTAAAAAGAGATTAAGTGTAAGTATTTCCACTCTTGGTGAAAGCACTAAAGAGATCATGGGGCACAATTACAAAACAAGGAAAATGTGAAACTTACGGGGAACTGCAGCTGCAAACCTATCTGCTTCATTATTCATAAGCCTCTGACGAAGTTCATTCTGGCCACAGTTCTGTGGGCCAATTAAGATGATAGGTCTTTTCCTATTTGCTGGCTGGTGATAGAGTGACATTTCCTCATAAGTTAGTATCTCCTCATTGTCATAATCTTTGGAAAGATAAAGATAATACACATCACATATGTAAATATGCAAGAACTCAAAAAAAAGCACTTTCTTATTATCTTATTACTGTCAATAAATTGTGTGTGTGTGTGTGTGTGTGTATGTATAAACCTTATATTTATATGGCTTATTTTCCAGAAGTTCAAAGGATTTAGAACTGAGAGGAACTTTTAAGATCATCTATTACAACCCCTTCACATTTTAAAGAGGCAGAAACTGAGGCCCGATAGTCTACATTGGTGATGTCAAACAAACACAAATGGATCCCACATACTGACTCAGAAAACCACAAATTAACATTGTTAAGCACCCCTGATGTAAATGATCATTAAGGTTCCTTCCAGCTCTTAGCTTCTAAGAATCTACTATGACTAATCAAAGAGTATAACTGCTGACAACAACATAGGGAGACAAAAGAGTAGATGGGTAAAATTCCAAAGACTACGGCAAAGACTATATTCCAAAATATAGGCCCAAGCCCTCAGGAGACAGCAGCAAAGGCAGAGCTAATGAGTAGCTTACTGTTACTGTTGTTCAATCTATCAACAAAAACTCAAAAACAATCAAAAAACACTTTCTTAAAGAAACAGCAAAAGTGGTCTGCCCACATTTCCCATCTACAAAATAGTAAGCCTAACAATGCCTTCCCTTCTAAGGAAAGTGTCTTAGCCACAGTCTGTCAATTATCGTTGGATTTTTAAGATTTATGAAGAGATCTTCATCTATGCTACTATAAGATAATCAAATCTCATCAGATTCAATTTTGCATACCAACTATCTATACTGTTGTCCTCCAAACTTATCAGATATTTCTAATAAAATGTTTCAGTTTCTTATAAGAAGAGAACATGCCATTACTGTTGTTACTGTTATTAAAGCCATAGATTGCTTTGTTTCTGCAATTAAGTCTGGACCTGTGACTTAATCAGTGTAAAGGGCACCCATAGAGAAAACTTCTAGTAATGTAAATTAGCAACTGTTCTACAAATTTAGAATCTTAGTTGTCTGAGGCACCAATATATATGTGACTTAAATGAAGGAATGTGTAGCTCACAGGCTAGCTCTCTACTACGTTGCACTATCCTATTATTTTAACATTCATTGTTGGAAAAATCCCAGGCCCCTTTCAGACAAGAAAGCTCAAGCTACAGTATAGGGTAAAAGACTTACCATCATTTTTATTAGCATTATACAAAACCTTTTTTCTTTTCTTCTTGTTCTTCTTAGCACACCACAATTTTCCTATTAGAGAACAAAGAATATCATAAACAGTAAAAGACTATTGATTCCAACTAAAAAGTTCAACTGAGATGATTTTAATTTCAAGTTTTCATATTTATTGCATTGTTTTACTCTACAGAAAAATAATTTCCAGAAATTTTAAGTCTTCTGTCATACTTGACTTTACCCATCCCAACGATCGATAATTTAATATTCAAATACGGTGAGAATGAATTATCTTTTCTAATGAGGGTTTTAACAGTATCCTGCAGCTTCCAAAAAGACAACTCAGAGCTTTATCTCCTATATTTTTGTTCTTATGTTGATAACACACTGCTAATCCTTTTCTTTTTATGAGATAACTTTTCTTGACAACACTGACAACACAAATGTAAATACATATTAAGAAACATCACTTCATGGAATTTAACCATAGAATCCTCTCTTCTACTGATGTCAAATTTAAGGACTCTACCTGATTTTTCTGGTTCTTTGTCTTCTTCTATGGTTTGCTTCATGGCTTCTCTTTGTTGCTGAAAGCTTTTCCCTTAATTCCAAAAAGGGGGGAGAGAATAAAACAAGACAGTTACAATGAAATGATGGAGAGTCACATAACTTCATCAAACTACATCCTATTTAAAGAAAAAGCCCTCTGCTATCATAAACATCAATTATTTTATCATTTCTATTCTATCTCTGTTTGAGGTATATACGTTTCATGCTCAATTTTTAAATGAGTGATAGGTAATAATACTGAAATACATGTTATATATTGGCAACTATTCCAGTGGAACAAATAGCTTTCCAATATGAAAAGAGGTTAACTTTTTTGATTGTGTCAGAAAAAAAAAACTATAGTTCCTAAATTTCTCTCAAGTTAAGTAAACAATTCCTGAGTTTGAATTTTCAAAATGGTATGTAGGCATTTATCTGAATATTATTCAACTCCTAAATACCATCTAAAAAAATATACACATGCACATATATACATTAAATTCTACTGCATTCTCTGGCAATTGCATTTGTATGTCCTATGCAGGATCTGAATGAAGGCTGAACCAAAAACTGTTATTCAAAGTATCTGACTCATTATTGAAAATTAAATTTACATTATTAGAATATTAAAAAAAAACTTATTATTGAAATAATCTACCCACTTCCATTTTTCTCTTTTCAGCCATTCACACAACTAATCAACTCAATAACTTTTGAATTTCCATTTAATATATTAGAACAACCAAAACATATACCACCTGAGTTCTGAGTCACTTATATTTATCATATTTCATAAGAATGCAAAGACAAATAAAACTGTAATAATATCAATTAGATCTTTAAAAATTATTGTAAAATCCAAGGTGGAATACTACAGCATACTTAAATCTTATTAAAATAAGACTACAAGCTACTTTCTTAAAGAAAGTAAGGAATAACAAATTAGACATTTTGAAAAGGTTAAAAACAAAAGAAACCATAACCATAGTTAGGCACAATTAAGGTATTCTTAATCAAGGGAAAACACACACACACACACACACACACACACACACACACAATTAGATTTGTAATCCATTTTGACCATCATTTTACTGTATTTTTGAAAGTTGCAAGTTTTTTCTAAAATTGATTTTTAAGGTAGAATGGGCACATATGCTAGCATAAAACAGGAAAAGCAATTGTGCTATTAAATAAAGGAATGTACAGAACAACCTTTCAATATTTTGTCTATCTCCATGATAACTGCCCTAAGCAAACAGAAAGCTTCTGAGTTTTAACAGATAACTGAAACTAAAATAACTTAAAAGCTAATGAAAGGTTAAGTCTTGATGGAAAAATGCTTTGAGATGATAAAATCAATTTATTAATCAACTCAAATTGATCTATTAATCAAATCTAATCTATTAATTAACAGCTTTCCCTTGGCTTTTGAGCTTAAAAAAAAATATATAGGGTAAAAATGCCAGGTTTCTGAAGACTTAACGGAATAAGTTTGGAAAGCTAATAAGCTCTGGGGCAGATATTAGGGATAGGGACTGGGTGCAACCAAAACTACTGGCTTATTGTGAGGATGAAATGAAATAATGCCTATAAAGTACCTTGTACTCCTTAAAAGAGCTGTCTGAATGTTAACTATTATTATTTTTACTATTGAAAAATAGTACAGCACAGCTGATAGAGAGCTGTTCTCAAAGCCAGAAAAACCTGAGTTCTAGTATCATCTTGGACACAAGCCAGCCATGTGACCTGGGGTAAGTCACTTAACCTCTCAGCACTTTGTCTATTAGTTATCTTTCTGTATTTATAGGTAGGTGTTGTACTACATTTGTAGAGGGAATTCGCTTTATCAATGAAATCACAGGTACAGTATTTCATTATTGTTGTTGAGGTTTTTGTTAGAAGATTCTATAAGAAATCTTGAAGCAGACAAGCAGCCTGAGCACTTCTGGCCCTTTTCATCATGTATGACTAGAGACCACTAGAATGAGGTAAAACTGTAGATACACATGGATTCATGGAATGACAGAACTGAATGACAGGGACTTTACTAGAAACTGACTAAATGACTTCCTAATCAAGCAACTGACAAACATTTATTAAGTGCCTACTATCTGCCAGGCACTGAGGATATAATTATAGAAAGTTTTAAGTCCCTACCCTCCAAAATTACATTCTTATTGGGGGGGGGAACAACATACACATATGTGCATATGTATAAGACAGCTAGAAGGCAACTTGGTGGGAAATGCATTGGTACCTAGAAGCTATACCTCATGTAAAACATAGCCTTTGAGCTGAAATACAAGCAAACAAGGGATTTCAAGAGGCCTCTGCCCCTTAGTAGGGCACACACTCTAGGTACAGGGCAGCCCATTTAAAGGCACAGAGATGGGAGATGGAGTGCTGTGTGTAAGGAGCAAGAAGTTTGGATGGATAATTGCAGGTGGTGAAAGGGTGCAGTGTAACAAGTATAGAAAAGTAGGATAGGATCAAGTTGTAAAGGGTAATGAGAGGCAACTGGAGGGAGGGGGTTTAGAGATAATAGGAAGCGTGGAATGGGAATTAGAAGTAGGAGAGAGAGAGAGATAGAGAGACAGAGAGAGAGAGAAAGAGAGAGACAGAGAGAGACAGAGAGAGAAAGAATATGAGAATGTCAGACCTATGCTTTTAAAACATTCTTTTGGTGACTGTGTGATGGAAGGACTGGAGGCCAGAGAGACCTAAGGCAGGTTATTTTAATAGTCCAGAAAAGAGGCAACATTCCTTTTGAAAGCTTGAAGAATAGGGAAGACTGTGAGAGGAGAGGAGGACAAATATGAGAAATGTTACAGATCAACATCACTAGAATTAGCATCTGATATATGTATGGTGAGAAAGAGTAGAATAAAGGAAAACACCTAGGTTCCAAAAAGACTCGAAGGACAGTGGGATTCTTTTGACCATAAAAGAGGTTTGGAAGAAGGGTGGGTTTGGAGATCATGAATACTGCTTTAGATACCTTGTGTTTTAGGTTTCTACAGGATATGCAGTTCAAAATGTCTCACAGAGAGAAGGTGATGCAGGACTGAAGCAGGATATTTAGATCTGTGAGTCATCTGCAGAGAGACACTAACTGAATCCATGGGAAATGATGAGGTCACTGAGAGAAGACGGAGAGAAAAGGGCCCAGAATAGAGTCTTGAGGAACACTGATAGTTGGGGACATGATATAAAGTATGCAGGAAGATAGGCTGGTCAATAGTGCTAAATGGTAAAGAGAGATCAAGAAGGAAAAGGACAGAGAACAGGACATTAGATTTGGAAATTATGGGCACACTGATAATTTTGAAGTGAGCAGTTTCAGTTGAATGTTAAGATCAGAAGCCAAGACTGCACAAATGAATGAGAGAGGAGAGAAAGTGGTGGCAATGAAAGTAGACAGCTTTTTCCTAGGGGTCTGGTTGGGAATATAGGGTAAAGAGAGGTCAGTAGCTTTCAGGGACAGAAGCATCTTTTGAGGGTTTTTTCAGGACAGGGATGACTTACATATCTCTATAGGTCATAGGAAAATAGCCAACAGCAAAAGAAAGATTTAAGATTAGGGAGAGAAAAGGGAAGATAGTGGGAGCAATTTCCTAACAGAAGATTAGAGGATACAGGATCAAGTCTATGCAGAAAGAGTTTTTGAGCATCTTTGGCCTTAAATGTCACATCCTTATCAAAAATTGAAATAAAGGAGAAAGAAAAAAAAAGAAATAAAAGAGAAGAAGGTAGAGGACAATGTCAGAAGATTGTAGATGAGGAAAAGGGGGGAAGAGAGAACTCATGGTGAATGGTGTCTTCCTTCTCAGTAAAGACTGAGATAAGGTCCTCAGCTGAAAAGATGGGGGAATAGTACTGTAAAAGGTTTACAATGGAAGAGAGGAAGTCTGGAACAGAAATTGTAGTGACTAGGAGAGAATAAATTAGGAAGGAATAAAATACCTTGGGACAGGGCGGGTACAGAGGTACAGCTGAGATCAGGTAACATAAATTTGTAGTGTACCCATTCAGCAGAGTTGTGTGCACTCTATCACTTCCATTCAGAAGCATATGATTAGGAAGGGAAGAAGCAGACAGTGGGAAAAATCCAGGTTAGTGTTTTGGCTAGGTATAAATAATATTAAAAGAAGGGATTCAAGAAGACAGGCTAGAATATAGTTGAAGAGACTGAAACTGGGAAGGGAAGAGGGTACACCCTCACCATCAGAAAAGGAGTAATTGCCTGGGAAAATACTAAAGAATAGAATGACTGAAGGTCATAGTGAGAATAAAGAAAAGCATTAGGAGAAATAAAGCACAGGGAAGGAATGAAATGACAACAGACTAAGATCTAACAAAAATATTTCAGAGTTCTTGACCTTGGAAGGTAAATATCTGTGAGTGATGGCAAAATCAAGGATCTGACCATTCCTGTATATGTAGTTTGTTGCTGAAGAGGACCCATAACATCAGGAAGGTGATGCCACGACTTGCAAGTGAACTGGATTTAAGTGATGGAGAACTGTGCAAAGTCACCAGCCTCACTTTCTCCTCCAGAGCCATCTGAGTTCAGTGGCAAGATACAGATCAAGACAACTCAGAAGGACAAATAGTTGAAACGCTTTGTCCACATAATGAAAAGACAAGACTCAAAGGAAAAGGCCCTAATGGTAGGAAAGACTGAAGGCAAAAGGAGAAGTGGATGGCAGAGAATGAAATGGATAGTGTCATGGAAGCAACAAACATGAGCTTGGACAGACTTAGGGAGGTAGTGAAGGACAGAAGGGCCTGATGTACTATAGTCTAATCTTTACATACTTTTCCAGATTCCTCCCTTGCTCTACCATGAGATCACCTGGCCATTCATATCAACAAAATTTATTATATGCTAATTATGTATGTTACTGTGAGATATAAGGATTAGCAAGACATACTTCCTGCTCGCAAAAAATTTGAGAGGGGAAATATGATATACACAATAAACTACAATACAAAATGTTAACTGTAAAGAGAAATACAAATTACTGTTAGAGTTTGGAGAATGGGAGATTTTAAAACATTTTTTCTGTATATCCATTCTTGAATCTTGTCTTTGCGCATTTGAGATCACAGAAGAACTAGGCAGGATGCAACTAAAAAATGCTGAGGAAGAATCTGGAGAAAAGCCTCAGAGGGTGAGGAAGCAATGTTGGTTAAAGAACAAACAAATCTAACATCTCAAATACCATCACATTTTAATAATTTGTCTTCTTTTTCTTGCTCCTAATGCCTGGCTCTATGCCAGCCCGTTTTTCCTCAAGACCGGAAATAATGAAACAATTTAGTCAACACACTTTATTCTCTAATTTTCTTATGGATTAAAAAAATGCTGCATCAAATGACAAGGTATTGTCAAATTCCATTCTTATAGAGTTACTAAGATGCTCTAGTCTGAGATATCAAAATCTCCATTTAAAATGGATATTCTCATGTCAAAGATGAAAATTCTATCATATCTGGCCTATTGATTTTTTTTGTAAAAATGCCTTAGCTAAATTAGTCTATTAAAAATACTTCTTACTCTATTTTTAAAAATTACCTGACACAGGTTTGATCCACGCTCAGTGAGACATTTAAATAAAAAGGACATTCTACTTTGCTGGAATCATACAATGATTAAAGATTCTTTGATGTCATAATGATAAAGCTAAATAGAACTGAATATCATAATTATGCCTCCAGAATAAAATGACTAAAATTATCACATTTTTCTGACTATGCTCAAGAATAACATGCCATGCAAATGGGCATAGAAACATGCCTGCTTTTATAATTTAGCAGTAGTATCAAGAGAGTAAGCTAGAAATTTTAAAAATGTCTGCTTCGCTACATCTTACCTGGAACGAGTCCTGCCAGAGGTTGATTATCTTCGTCTCCTTCCCGGTAGGCCTGCCACCAGTTAGGATCTTCTTGACTGATGATATGAAGTATGTCTCCTTTTTGAAAAGACAGGCCTAATTCTCGGCAAGGAACGTAAGGGTCGTCAGAAGGATCATAGTCAAAATGAGCTTTAACATGGATCTAGAAGAAAAAAAGGCAAAAACAATGGAACTTTAAAAAACTTTGGTTGTACACTGGCCATCTCTTGCTCTCACCACACGGCCAGATAATCTTCTCTGACACATGTTCCTTCCTCCTTTGTCTTCAGAGTTCCTCATTCATTCTGTGTTGTCCTCTACTCACAAATAACCTACAGTAAATGCTCACCTTTGGTTGTTTGATGGAAGTGGGATTCAAAGCCTCACTGCTATACAGAAACACTGGTGAAGTGTCTGGATTGAAAAGAGGGACCTTTGCTGTTACAGGACACTTGGGGAGTCAGTTCTTCAATTTCCTTAGAGCAATCCAATCCAGCCTTCTCTTCTCCTTTGCCAGTCATGTTTTTTAGAATTCATAAGACCTGAGATTTCCCCCCTAATACTTTTGTTTTTTTCCTTTATTTCAGATAACTTACAAATTTAGTCTCTCAAAGCCTTAAAAATTCTATCACTTACAGCAGTAATCTCCTCTATAAGTACCTGATTTAATTTAGCTACTTATTTCATGTTTGTTTTCTGCAGTGACATTTCTACATCCTCTGTAAGCATTTTGGTAGTTTGATGGGGAAAAATGTGACATAATTTTAGCAAATCTTTTCTAGTTTTCATGTTTGTAATCTTTCCTTTTTTTTTTTGGAATTCTTGAATAGTCATGGCATGACTCGCTTAGTTAGATATCTTGCCAAGTTTTCTTTAGACCAGTTTTAAACCTCCACTCTTTTTCTCTGCTTTGTGAAATTATATCAAAATTTTAATCATTCATCACCCTTCTTTATAAAATTTTACAAACAAGTTTATCTTCTAACCTAATATTCACTCTGGCAGCCAGCTGTCTTCATTTGTCAAATGAACCAAATGTATGCTGACTAATGCGCTTTCTAGGTTATTTTGATATCCCTGATATAGTACTTAATTTACACTGGCTTAACTTCTAGAAGAAATTGGTGCAGTTCCTGTCATACATTTACCACTTTATTCAATTGTTTTAACTGAGGGTTAACTTTTCTTGTGTGCCATATTTTTCCTCACTAATTCTTTTTTTAAATGATAAATTAAATGTGAATCCATAACTTGCAATCATTTTCATGATCTTACTGAAAATACTTCTTATAGTACTGTAATGTATTAGATGTACATTACTAGTATTGTAATATATTAGATGACCAAACATGTCTGAGGAAATAATTTTTCTTGTAACTTTTGAGGTTATGATAAAATCCATTCTGCCAATTCCTTTTTTCACTTCTCTCTAAGACAGAGACCTGAATATCACTCTCTGGCTTAAATTCCTTCAGTTGCTCCCTAATACCTCTAGGATAAAATAAACTCCTTAGTTAAATAAAGTCTATTACAATCAGGAACCAATCTACCATTCAGACTATTTTCACATTATTTCCTTTTACAACACTTTAAATAATATTTCACATTATATTCAAGTCAAATTGATCCTTAAATTCAAAACAGCTAATTTGAGGTGGAAAACCATGATCGTAAAAGAACTCAAAAACATTGGAGATAAGGAATGTTTAACTGAAGAGAAGACCTGAGACAAGCAATAGAGCTGTCTTCATATATATGAAATTATGTCACATGGAAGAAGAATTAAGACTGTAAAGAGCAAATGGGGCAAAATTACAGGGAAACTATGTCCCTTAACAAGCTACCTCATAAGGTAGTGGATTCCTCAACACAGGTGATGTTAAACAGAGCGATGATACAGGGGAGATTCATGAGTGAATACATAAATGTAAAAGCATACTCTTAATAAGTACAAGCCACTTGTTGAGTCCTTGGCTGACAGTATTTTGAAGTTTTTTTTTAGTCATTTCCAGACTACAATGTTCACCTGTATATAAGCAATATGTATCTTGAATCAAATATTCCCTGACCTCAAGAAGCTTATATACAACATGTACAAATGAAATACAAAGTAACTACAATAACAATAGCTAGCACATATAGTACTTTAAGATTTGTAAAGCACTTTACATGTTAACTCAATTGATACTCACAATTGTATGTAATACATGCTATTAATTAGTCTATTTTACAGATGACAAAACTGAAGGACAGAGAGGTTAAGTGAGTTGCCCAGAGTCACAAACTACTTAGGGTCTGATGTCTTCCCCAGGCCTACACTCTATCCACTGCACCACCTGCCTTCTACCAAGTATAAACAAGATTATTTCAAGAAGAATGTAAACCCTTACAATTCTAAATAATTTTAAAATTGTGGAAGTTGAGGGGCAGGTGAAGTGGGGTATAGAAGGCAGGAGAAATCAAGAAAGAAGAGGAGGTGGAAAATGAGGGTGGATCACCTGGAGGATAATTTCTTTCCAGTGAAATGAAAACTAGAAAACTGTAAACCCCCCCCCCAAAAAAAGAAAGTAAGGAAGAAAGAAAAGCCATCTCTCTCTCCTCTTGATTCTATGGGGCATCGGGGACATCCAAAAGCAAAGTAGCCTGTGAAGCAGTTCTCATTAGAATCTTGCCACCTCTCTTTTGCAGGACACTTCCCCCCAGATCCTTCATTCTATTTACTGTTCCTTGAGATTAGACACCCAGATCATTCCACTAGCTTCTTTTCACACTACACTTTCACAGGTTTTATTCTATTTTTTCTCTTCCAAATCGAACTGACAAATACCCAGGAACAGATATGGGCTAAAGTTTTTACTGTGACCATAAATATTTACATTTTTCATACATGCCTTTGAGGCAGAAAAGCCGAGATAAGCCAACATGCCAAAGAAATAAGTCTGCTTATAAGATTAGCCCCAGGGAAATTATGGGTATGATAGTCAAGGAGCCTTGGGGGGGGGGGGGGGGGGGGGGGACATATTTTGAGACTTCTTTATCTACTTGGCACACATTACTGATATAAAGCCTTAAAAGATTGTAAGCTGAATCTTTTTCATTATCATTATAAATTTTGTTAAGCTTTTGTTTGTAGAATATTAATATTTTTGAATTTTCATTATATTATTCTGGGACAAAAAACTTTTAACAATACTTTAGACAGTTCTGTAAAGTACCTTAAAATTTAGTTAAACAAAACTAACAAAATTTCATCATGTTATCAACTAAAAACACTCTAGACTGGAAGGGAAAGGAACACTAACAATGCATGAAATTTTCATTAACAAAATGAGACTAGGTAGGACTTTACAGCCTACAAGGGCTAGTCACACCACTTTAAGCAGAAGAGTGTTTTCACTGTCATATTAAAAGTGATAAATTTAACATAGTTATTAAAGTGTTGTGATAAAAGAAAGAACTAGAAAGTCAAGTCTAGGGCTTTAGTCCTAGTTGTGATATTAACTTACTATGTAACCTAGAACAAATCGCTTTAACTCTTTGAACACCAAATAACTAATCTATATAACGAAGAAAGTTGAACTGGTTATCTATCTCTAAGATCTCTTTTAGGTTTTATATTCTAAGGGTCAACAATTTTTCCTCTTCATTTCATAATATTAGTACATTATGGTTTAAATAGGTTACTTGTTTCTTGTTTAAATAGGTTACTTGTTTGACATATCAAAGTGTATGCCACAGTACACAGAAACAAAAAAAGAGAAGAATGCTTGTTGAATTACTGTGTTCCCCAGACAATAATTCTCCTAAAAAAGTGGTGCCCCTTCAGGCTGGCCTTTCCTTATGTACTAGTCATCATGAAGTGTGATGAATAGGTTTTACAGTCTCTAGGCTTCAGAAGGCAACACTAACTAGTTAAAAATTAACTAATTTTCTTTCTTTTTTGGGGGGGGGAGTGAGGCAATTGGGGTTAAGTGACTTGCCCAAGGTCACACAGCTAGTAAGTGTCAAGTGTCTGAGGCCGGATTTGAACTCAGGTCCTCCTGACTCCAAGGCCAGAGCTTTATCCACTGTGCCACCTAGCTGCCCCAAGTTTTCTTTTATAAATTAAAAAAAAAAAAAAAAGGAGAAAAGGAAAAAACCACAAGGTAAGTTTTCTAACAGCACATTCCTATTTAAATCTCAAGATGTCAAATTAAAAAGAGGTTTTCTGGGGAATGTTCCATACTGGCACATTCTTTTCACAAAGTTTAGCACAATGCTTGGTCCACAGAAGATGCTTATTAAATGCTTCCTGACTGACTTTGAGCCTACTATTTTCTTGGTGACTTAAATTACAACATGACCTCCTTCTTTAGAGTTAGGATCCAAGTGAGCTAATAATACTTTCAACCAGCTGTGCTTACGTGAAACATTAAAAGAGGAATTGTACTAACAAGGATTTTCACATTTAAAAAAAAGAGAGAGAGAAAGCTAGTGTTAGTTACTTTCTATGCTAAAATTAAAACAAACTTTTAAGTGCTAGAAAAAGAAAAATACAGTTTGGATTTTTCTTTTTCTAAACCATTTCAATTCTACTTCAATGGTATCTAGAACTAAACTGCTTAACAGGATTCTACACTTCTCCAGATGATTCTGGACCACATACTTGTTTGATCTTTGGATTAAATCAGTCTTACCTCCCCAACTCACAAAGGTCAGTGAGAGTCAAACATTCAATGAAAGATAAAAACAAGCTATTTTATCCATGAATAAGAGGCAGTCTCGATTCTGTTACAAGAGAAACTATCCCTTCAATGTGATACACTTTGCTCTTCACTGTAATTTTGTGAATGATCCTGAGATACAAAAACTATTTGGCTTTGAAAGCCCTTCATAACCTGGCCTCCTCCTACATTTCCAGTTTTCTTACACTTACTTCATCTTTGTACTCTGCAATTCTGTGAAACTGGGCTCTTTGCTGTTGTCACACAAGACATCCCATTTTGCAACTCTGGGAATTTTCACTTCATGTTCCCCATGCCTGGAGCTCTCTCAATCCTTATCTCCACCTTCTAGATTCCTTCAAATGTCAGTTGAAGCTCCACCTTCTGCAAGAAACCTTTCTTAGTCCTCAATGTTACAGCTAGTGCCTTCCCTCTGAGATTACATCCAATTTACCCAATATATATCTTGTTTGTACACTGCTTGCAAGTTATCTCTCCCACTACAACACAAGCTCCTTTGAAAGTTGGGGTGCTTGGGGCGGCTAGGTGGCACAGTGGATAGAGCTCCGGCCTTGGACTCAGGAGGACCAAAGTTCAAATCCAGCCTCAGACACTTGGCACTTAGTAGCTGTGTGACCCTGGGCAAGTCATTTAACCCGGACTGCCTCACCAAAAAGAAAGAAAAAGAAAGTAGGGGTGCTTTTATGCATTTGTATCCACAGCACTCAGCACAGTGCCTGGAACACAAAAAATTAATATATGCTTGCTAAAGGATCCAAGACAACTCCAAAGGACTCATGATGGAAAATGCTGTCCACATCCAGAAAAAGAATTATGGAGTCTGAATGCAGATCAAAGCATATTACTTGCTCTCTCTCTCTCTCTCTCTCTCTCAGTTTTTGTTTCTTCTTTCTCATGGTTATCTCCTTTGGTTCTAATTCTTCCTTACAATATTATTAATGTGAAAACAGGTTCAATATGAATATGTATGTAGAGCCTATATCAAACTGCAGGCTATCTTTGGGTGGAGGGAGGAGAGAGATGGGGAGAAAATTTGGAACTCAAAATCTTATGGAAGTGAATGTTGAAAACTAAAAATAAATTGATATAAAAAAATGCTTGTTGAATTGAGAGACTACAAAAAACACTAATTTTATCCATATCTAAGAGAGAAACTAATTTCCTTTTAGGAAATTTAATTCTATTTACTTATTCCCTAGAACATTGCAGATTGTGTATGATAATTACCGCAAATATAGCTAGGTGGTACAGTGGTTAAAATGATGGATACAAAATCAAAGACTTGGGTTCAAATCCGTGTTTAGACACTTACCTCAGTAAGTTATTTACATATTGCCCGCCTCAATTTCCTCATCTGAAAAATGGGAATAATAGCAGCTACCTCTCACATCAGTTGTGAAGATAAAAATAAGTTTTTGTAAAATGTGATGCAATATAGACATCCTTACAAAAGAAGTCAATCATTTACCATAAAAAAGTAAATAAGAAAAGTGAAAAGCTATAACCCAATCTATTCTTCTGCCTAATTCCTCAGCCAGTAGAATGAACCTTCAAGTCTGAATCTTTACGAAGAAGATAGATATTTGGGGGGGTAGGGGTTGGGGGTGACGCATGGGCGGGCACAGGCATAAGGCAATGTGAATCAGGATCAAATAATTAAATGAAGATATTTCATTTTTATACATATCAAATTATTTTAAAAGAAATAAAAGTTTGCAGATATAAAGTCATGATGAAAAAGGTTCTCAAAAAAAAAAAATAAGAACCATGGAAATGCCTGCACATAAAACAAAATTTGGCAGAAAGCCAGAGAACAAAAAGAAATTGTGCCTTGCAGAGTCTAACACTCTATGATTTAATCACAAAGCACAGGAACTATACTATATTTGTGATTTCACTGCCACTGGAAATTCCAGGCTGAGGAAACTTCCTCTCCTAATGCAGTATGAGTCAAAGGTGGAACTTGAACTCAAGTTTCCCTGGGTCCCAAGGCTATTCCAAAGAATACTTTCAAATAGAGTATACCATCTATGAATCTGTTTCCATACAACAATTCAGTACTCTGAAGTTTATCACTTTCCAGAACACTAATGGAGTTAATGAAGGCAGCTAGATGGCGGCTCAGTGGTTAGAGCTGAGCTTGGAGTCAGGAAGATTTGAGTTCAAATCCAGCCTCAGACACTTACTACCTGTATGACCCTGGGCAAGTCACTTAGCCTCTGTTTTACCTTAATCAACTGGGGAAGAAAATGGCAAACCACTTCCAGTACCTTTGCCAAGAAAACCCCATGGACAATATAGTTCTTAAGGTTACGAAGAGTTGGACAGAACTGAACAACAGAACAATGAAATGAATGGTTTGAACATTAAGTACAAATGATGAAGGGTTGGAGACTTCATAAAAGCTGAATGTTTTGTTATGTATAAAGATGCTTAAGGTTTGTCTTTAGTATGCTGTTCAAAAATAATAACTACTTGATGGGAAAAAATCCAATGATAATTGGGAACGTAGGCAAAAATTTTTTCCTTCGAAACAGCTCTAACACTGAATTAGAAAAAGCTTAGAGTATACTGTTTTTAAACATAGCTAATTAAATTTTGAGGAAATAATTTTCAACTATATTTATCATTATCCCTTTTTTTTGAAACCCAGATTTTTTATTTTTTAAAAATTTCATTTCTGAGCAAGAAATGCTTAGATACATTTCTCTAATATTACTAGGTAAACAGTGGTAGGGGGAAAGGCAATTGAAGACTTAATAAACACAGAGATCACTTACTACTGTTTCTTTGGCAGGAGGGGGCTTGTTCTGCTGGCTAGGAATCAGCACAAATGTGAGTGTGCCATGCATATCAGACTGTAAAGAAAAAAAAACCAAAGTTTAGATATCAAAACATACAAAATTTTCTTATGAAACCTATTCAATAACCACACCGTCACCTAAAGGCTTATTCTGAGACCATGTTACTTCTACACTATACCAAGTTCTGTAAAGAGTTTGACACATAGACAGGTTCCTTTTCTTCAGTTTTCAATTGAAAGAAGTAAATCTTATTTGCCCAGTAAACATAACATAACATAACATAGAAGATTCATCTTCCTAAGTTTAAATCTGGCCTCAGACACTTACTAGCTGTGTGACTCTGGGCAAGTCACTTAACCCTATTTGCCTGTTTCCTCACGGTGGAGGAGGAAATAGCAAACCACTCCAGTATTTTTACCAAGAAAACCCTAAAATGGGATCACGAAGAGTCAGACACACTAAAAATAACTGAATGACAGCAACAAAAGACTTCAATAGATCACAGCTATATTGAAGCGCAGCTCTCTGTGTCCAGTAACCTCTGTTCAACTGGAAAACTATGAACTAGTTCAATTCCCTTAGCTCAGGGTCACAGGTTTGGCTTGTCATTCAGCGTGGACCTAAGAGCCCACATAATGTTTCTAAAGTGACTCCAATTCAGAGTTAATGTGTGACTGAAGGACTCAAATTAATTTTAATACATTAAAGTTTTATATATAGCTTAGGATAAGAAGCTTAATACATGAAAATCTATTTCTCCAGCTTTAAACTTCCACCCTACTGGGCTTATTAAGTTGTTCCCAATACACTGGCCACTTATTTAAGTCACTTCGAGCCCAAGCAGTTACTGCTACTACCTGAATCAATCAGAGTACACAGGCTAAATGAAACCACAAGCAAGGATGGTGGCCAAAGTCAAAGTACTGTATTTCACAGCATAATCGTCACAGATTTTATGGCAAATTTTTTTTGCCAAAAGTGGGGTGTGACCATTATGTGAAGCCACTTCACCTTTAAAATATATGTATATATGTGTATGTGTGTATATATGTATGTATATATATAGTACGTGTGTGTGTATACACACACACACACACACACACACATATGTGTGGCAGTATTACTCGAAAATCACTTATTACTAAACTGTCTTTGGTGCAAGATTAGGATGCATGGAATACTTGTGAAGATACGTTAAGATATTGACAATGCCCATGCACTGAGAATTCTAGACTTGAGGCTCACAATGTGCGAGAGATAAATGTATATCCATATGCCACTGGTGAATACACTGCTGCTCTGTTTACCTTTTAAGTGGTTTGAAAAACAGAATTATACCATGCGATGATTACGGGTAAAAAAAACAAAACAAAAACAAAAATGAAACAGGGTATGACAATTACGTGGTGAAATACAGTAATAAGCAGGACTATACTTAAGGAAGCTATGGTTGCAAAGGTGGCAGAACTGAAGGACCACCTAAGATTAACCCTTATCAAGACAACCAAGAGTTGAAAGGATAAATAGATGGAACTCTACTACATTAACTTAAGTAAAATGCACACATGATTACAAATTTCAGAGGAATATGAGCCCACTGTCCCCTCCCCACAAACTACATAACAGTCTGAAGTTGAATTTAATGATAAGTTGTTCTAAATTATCTACATCACTATTCCTGTATGATGATGTGGTGGTATTCAGAGCTGACTGAAAATACTGTAATGAAATTAATGAGAAATAGCACTATTACTGTTTTCAGACACAAATGAGAAATAGGTAGGAGAGAAGGGGGACTGACCCTTTAATCTCATTGGTGAAGAACTCCCAAGTGAGCAAACTCCTTATACCAATGCAAGTCAGCAAATCTATAATTGAAAAGCACTGAGAGCTTGAGTGACTTGCTTTAGGTTACAAAACCTGACATAATGTTGAGGTCACCCAGACTTCAACCCAGGTCTTCCTGGCTTCAACCCTAACCCTAACCCTAATATAGCCTTCTAAATAGCATGCCTCACATGCAATAGATTTTTTAAAATATCCAGCTAAAACAAAGCAGAATTAGCAGGCTACCTGTCTCCAACAATAAAATCAATATGTACAATATAAAGTCTAGGGGCACTTAGTATTCTTTATAATGATATCAAAATTATTAATTTTATTTTGGATTCTCCCAACAAACATGAAGATAAGTGAATCCTTTATATCAGTGTGAATCATTTAAATAAGTCAACTTACCAACAAGTCAAAAACCTCATTGACATCCTTTCCCCTAATTTCAATGCCATTAATTTCCAGAACCTCATCTCCTTCATGTAATAGTCCACTTTTTTCTGCAGCTCCTCCTTTTACTATCCGACTAATGATGACAGAATCCATTTCATTACGAACTGTAGCACCCTATATAATCCCAAAATATAACCTGTATGAATCCAGTAATGTTTTATATATATACATATATATATCTTCAGTTTTAAATTCCTTCTTCATCTCTACAATTCTGTGATTATAGGAATCTGTTTATTCCAATAAAACAGGATAGTTCAAAAACAGAAATCAGATTAGAGAAAAGTTCACTTGAGATAAGCTATAAAAGAACTAAAACAGCTAACTATGAGAGTTGACAACATATTCTGTTTATGAAATTTATCAACATATTCAAAAGAATTCTGATGTTAAATGGATTTTTTAAGTTTGGAAAAATGAAATATATATAAAAGTAAGTGACTATCAAAACAAAAGTTATTTGCTTGGAACTGTTTCTATAATGTAAATTCTATTTTCACAGTTAAGTCTAGATTTTGGGAGAATTAATGAATTAAGTATGAGGAAATACAAAATCACTCCTCAATTATCTATATCTATATCTAGATAGGATGAACAATATATCTTTAAGTGGTTAAACACTTAAAAGATAAAGGTGTTGGCAGCCATCTATTACATTCAATGCTGGTTTAAAATTTAACTTTACTAGATAAATTAATCATTCTAAATAAAACAAGCACAGAACAGGAAATTAAAACATTGTATAAAATATATAACTTCTAGGTGCCATAGCTCTAACTAGAAAAAAGATAATTATATAAAGCTAAAAATTTTGAAATTATTTCTCCCACCACAGAAATTTTCCATTTCAAAACAATGATATATAATCTCTTCCAGTTTCATTTTTGTAGACAGAAAAAGAAAAGAGATGGAGTGAGGTTAGCTCACTTTGCTGCAGACATCTGAGTCTGTCTCAAATAAATAAATGACAAAGAGAAGATAAGGCATTCATATAAATACAATAAAACAGAATCACAAAATGTTACATAGTACATTAAGAACATCGCTTCCAAAGAAAATTTCAAACAGAGAAATGATTGCTTTATTAAGTTCATTAAATTTCTCTGAAAAAAATGACAAAAACATACTGTTCTAAAGAAATATTTTAGCTAGGAAAGAAGCAAAAAATTACCGATCCCTTTCCTTGTCCATCAATCACATTATCAAGTAATACCTGGCATTACATCTTCAGTTATATTTTTTACTTTATGAGAGACGTACATGTACACATGCATACATGCCTGTGTCTCTCTGTATACACACACACCCATACCCACGCACACACCCATGCCCACACCCACACACATCCACACCCACGAGACACTTAGAAAAGACTATCATCAAAATATAGTGGAGGAAATACAAAAATATACTTAGTACAGTATTATGGTAATACAACTAAAATTAGCTAGAAGGAAAAACTGCAAACCAAAGTCTCTGCCAATCATCACAGGATCATGAATTGAGTGCAGAAGGGGACCTTAAAGCCATCTAGTCCAATCCCCTTATCTTACAGGAGAGGAGACAGTGACCTCAGAGGTGTCACATAGGTAGTAAGCTCTAGAGGCTGAATATGAACCTGGGATGATTAAAAAAAAAAGTGCCTAATGAGTTCAGAACTGTAAAGCTCAGACTACTACTTTTCCCATCCTTGAAATTAAAACTATATATGCTGTGGAACAGTAAGAGAATACTTACCAACGGAATATCTCGAGCTTTTTCAATACGAACTATTTTTACAGTCTCTCCTCCATACTGGCCAATGCTCTCATAAACTCTCTCATCTGTGATGGACTCTGGCTGCATTTCCTGTTCAGCAACCTTATCATGGGCCAGTAAGAGGGCCTGTGGGGTTTTGAGAAAGATTCATTTATTTCTATGTAGTATTTTTCTAACTTAATGCTATACATAATGCAGAAACTCTTAGGTCTCTTAAAAAATTGTTACAGTGATTTGTTCTGGTCAATAGTTTCTGACTTTTCTTCTCCAAATTTTTCTATATACAGTGCTTTAGCTTAAATGCTTGCAATCATATATTTGTGTTATATGTCATGAAGTGGTTCACCTGTGCAAAATTGTGTATGACATCATTGAGAAACTGTGTTATGTTGCCCCTGGAGAATAAATAGCATCTAGTTACATCTAGCTCTTGTCTGGAAAAAAGCTATGAGCTCCCTAATGGTCATGCTATCACCAATGGCAATGAGAAAGTCTTTGAATATCATTGTTTAGGCATGGAATCCTGTGTATAAATATATATATATTACCTTCAACTCAATCATGAAGTATGATGTTATCACCTGTAATGATAACACAACAGGCCCACCTATGCCAGCACATGGAGATCCATCTCCAAATGGAAAATTACAGTGCCATGGGGCAGCTAGGTGGTGCAGTGGATAGAGCACTGGGCCGTGGAGTCAGGAGGACCTGAGTTCAAATCTGGCCTCAGACACATAACATTTACTAGCTGTGTGACTCTGGGCAAGTCACTTAAACCCAACTGCCTCACAAAAAAAACTGCAGTGCCCATCAGAGGAAGCTATGAAGCCTGGTCATCAAAGAAACAGTCATTTCCAGAGGTGGAGCTGGACTCTGCCAAAATCACTGTGGAGTGCCTGACACAAGATGGACTGGTTTTCTAGTTGCATGACCAAAGACTCCGTACAAATGAGAATTTTTCTAGCACAGATGTCATTGAGCACTCACTCACCATCACTACAACCATGCCAGAAGACTGGGAAACACAGCACTCCTTCCTTGAAGCCCCATCCTAGCCCCTACTACCACCAATAAAAAGTACTGCTTAGGGGGAAAGCAATACCATACTGCACAAGTATGCTTTCAGGTACAGATGACAGGAGACACAAAGCGATTACAGTCCTAGACACCAGCACAAAGAAAATCAAGATAACTGCCCCACTTGAGCTTAAGTCTGGACTGCAGGCTCCATCTTCCAGATAATGTGGATCAACAATATGGGTCCTCCACTGTACATAACAAATACTTCTAAATAGATTTTTGTTGTTGTTGATTACTTGTTTTTGTCCAAGGATATGATATGATAATTGCCCCCAAATAAGATGAATTTGGCATGGCTCTGTTTTCTTTTTGGTGTTTAACTCAGGTTTTAAAAACTGGACTGGTGAAGGTGAGGAATAGTCTAAGTAGGTTGGAGGCAAATATCTCCAAAATTCTACAGTGTATCTTCAGGATTCTGATTGTATATTTGAATTAAAGATTGTATATCTGAATTAAAAAAAAAAAGTACTGCAGATACTGTATGGAGTTATCTGTCTCTGCCTTGCTCTACAAAAAGAAACTGACTTTAAAATCAGTGGCAGAGGTGGGGAAGGTCATAATAGTATTACACATATGTAAATTATGTAAGCTTTTTTTTTTTTAATTGTATCTTCTGCCTTAATATGTGGGGCTTCTGTTTGTTTTGTTTGGTTAGAATCATACAGGCACCCTCCTTTCTCTACCTGCCCACTGCCTACCCCTCTTGCCAACATACATGTGAATGAAGGCTTTTTACAATCCACCTAGGAATTCAACGAGATTGGTTCCAGTGTGTGGATGAGAAGAGAAGCTCTGAATGTACACGGGCTTAAGAAAAGTTCAAATAAAAGTACATACATTACAGAAAAATTGAGTGGTTTTCACTTCATAAATACATAAGGCAAGGCATATGTTATATAAAAGCTAAATGGTAATAAGATATATTTGATTCACCAATAGAATGTTTTTCTAGTTTCTACCTGAATGTGAGGAGCATTTAGCAAAGCATTTAACTCCTGTCCTTCCTTCTGATGGCTTGGTTTCAAAACTGCTTGTACCTACAGAAGAAAAAGAAAACCATTCAATCTTACTAGATTGCATTACACACCTATCGAGCAATACTTAAAGAGGCTAGTGATAGAAGGCAGTAAATATAAAAAAACTCAAAATGCTATTACTGCTGCTACTATTACTACTGCTACTACTACTACTGCTGCTGCTGCTGCTGCTGCTGCTGCTGCTGCTACAACAAAAACAAAAGATCAAGGAAAGACTGCAAGAAAAAACAAGGCTTATATTGAGGATTCAATCTCATCATTGTGGCAAAATCTATGCTAGTTTAGCAGCAACATTCCTTAAAAATATAATAGTTCACAAGACATATTCCTGAATGAAATCCTTCTAGTGCAAGCTCTCATTACTAAGATGATTGAGTATGGATTAGTTCTCATTTTTTACATCTGTAAAATCATGGGATGGGGAGGGGACAATTGCAATAAGCTTTTTAGTTCTAAAATCTTATAATTCTAAAATATGCCACCTAAGTAGTGTGTAGAGAGCCAAGAGGGCTAGATTTGAGTTCAAAGGATTCAAGTTTGAATCCAGCTCTTCTACATAACAGCAAGTTCTTTGTGCCTATTTCCTCATCTATAAAACACGGGGGTTGGACCCCCCTCTCTATGTCCTCCTAAGGTCCCTTTCAACTCTAAAGCTATGACTCTACAGTGATCTTAGGATAGGCAGAGGTAAATATAGATGCTAGACACTAGCATCTAGCAGCTAGAAGAACAGAAATTAAATGATCAGGAGTGAATTTGAGAAAATTGATTTTTTTTCTTGTATTTTAAAGGTTAGATCATTTTATCTCTACAATACCTAATACAGTATTAACAAGATTATTATAGACTTGTAAGGCAGGTTTTATAGATGATTTAACAAATGGCAATGAATTTTTTTATATAACATAGCATGGGAAATATAACCTTTCAAAAAATAACTACATTCAACTTTCTATGATGGAAGCTTTTATTATTATTAATATATAATTGTTTTAATGTTACACACCTGAAAATGCTAGTTCTAGAAGGAAAATAAAGCTATTAGAATGTCAACAAGGCATACAGAATACATACCTCCTGTGCAAGGTCTTGTGCATTGGAGATAAGAGGAAATGGAGGGCTGGCTTTATTCATATGCACTGTGACAGCATTGTGTATCTTAAATGCATGCTGGAAATCAGTATTTTGTACAAGTTGTAAAAGCAGTGCAATGTCATCCTGGCTCTGGGAATCTACCAAAGTATGTTGAATATGCTTGAGTGAAGAGAACAGGTCTTCCACTTCTGGCAGGGGGGGAAAAGGTATTCAATATTAATCATTTAACTTCTATTTGCAAAATATGTTCTTTCAAGGTATTCTACTTCAGCAGGCAGAATACTGGAATTAGTTAACAGCATTCTAAAATTTTCACTATTTGATAGAGTAGCATTATCATCATTGGGAATAGAAGGGTTCTAGGAATGTAAATTTTCCAGATAACAGATCCTTTCTTTTTAATTGCTTATACTGGTTATCTTTGATTCTTACATGAAGATTTAAACTAAAACTTCTATGCCTTCTTGAACATAGTACACTGAACATATTTTCAAATCTTGATTATTCAGGGTCATAATTATAAACATTAAATACTGAACTGTGCCATAGCACAGCTGATGCATTCAAATGTTACTGAGACATACATAATGAGGTATTCAAGAGTTCATACACTAAATGCCTCTGTATAAGTTTATTTTCATGGGATTATGTTAGTGGATTTTTGGGGGGGGGCAAAGGGGGGAGGCAATCAGGGTTAAGTGACTTGCCCTGGGTCACACTGTAGCTTACATAAAAAAAAAAAAGCTTACATAATTTACATATGTGTAATACTATTATGACCTTCCCCACCTCTGCCACTGATTTTAAAGTCAGTTTCTTTTTGTAGAGCAAGGCAGAGACAGATAACTCCATACAGTATGTTAGAAAGTGTCTGATGCTGGATTTGAACACAGGTCCTCCTGACTCCAAGACCAGTGCTATATCCATTGTGCCACCTAGCTACCCTGATTATGTTAGTTTTTAAAGTTTTTCTTCCACCTAGACTCCAAAAATGTCACTTGTTGCTGGAAATGTTACATAAAGATAAATTTCAGTTGAATAAAGACTATAGTTTTTATATCTAACATATCTCAGGTGCTTAGGCAATTAATGGACTTGATAAAGATTTCTACCTTCTCCTGAGTTTAGCTGAAAAATGTCATTAAAGAGAACCTAGAGAAACAAGAAATGCTAGTAACTGCCAGGGGAAAACCTTACTGATCTCCAGGTGAATCAGTTATCTCTCTACCAAAGGAACGGAGAGTTAGGGGCTTCTGTCAGACTAAAAAAAAAAAAACAAAAACTTTGGTGAGTAACTAGTTCCTTAAGTGATTTGGGAAGGTCAGAAGCAAGAAGAATGCAAGAGAATAATGTAAAAACAAGAGACTTATCTACACCTCTATAATATTGTACAGAAAAACAATTCTGAAATATTTGAGAATTCAGATTAAAGAAATAACCAATCATAACACTAGAGACGGACAATAATCTTGTTTTAAACCTCTTGGCAGAGAGATAATAAGACTAGAATGGGGCCAGTTTTCAGACACAACTAGTGTGTGGCTGAGAGTAGCGACAGTGATGCTAATGGAATGCTATTAAAAATGCATAAAGGAGTAGAAGGAAGTTCATAAAGGAACACAGAAGAACAAGACTGCACTGGAAATACAGCTAGGAGGCAAAGTGGATAGAGCACTAGACCTGGCATCAGAAGACTGATCTCAGCCACTTACTAGCTATGTGACCAGGAGCAAATCATTTAACTTCAATCATTTAATCAATTTTTATTAAGTGTCTACTATGTGTCAGGGACTCTGCTAAGCCCTGGGGATACAAAAAGAGGCAAAAGACAGTCCCTGCCATCAAGCAACTTAAAATTTAAAGAGGTGAGATAACATTTAAACAAAAATATATAAAGCAAACTATATACAGGTAGGACATAAATTTAGAGGTACTCAGAAAGGCTTCTTGTACAACATGAGGTTTTAATTGGAAGTTAAAGGAAGCCAGGGAAGCAGATGGGGAAGAGGCAGAGAAAATGCCTACTTGGACTCAAATCATGCAATAGCCAGAAAGTCAGTGTATGTAGTGGGGACTAAAGTATAAGAAGACTGGAAAGGGGCTAGCTTAAGAAGGGCTTTGAAAGCCAAACAGAGCATTCTGTATTTAATCTTTGAGGCAAAAGGGAGACACTGCATTTTACTGTGTAGGAGAATAACATGGTCACACCTGTGCTTTAGAGAGAGCGCTCTGATGAATGAATGGAGGATGGACTGCAGTGGGAGAGACTTGAGGCAGGCAGATTTCACCAGCAGATGTTGCAAAATAGTCCAGATATGAGGTGAGGAGAGTCTGCACTAGAGTGGTGATAAAGTCAGAGGAGAGAAGAAGACATACTTGAGAGATGTTATAGAGCTAAAATCAACAATTCTTGGCAACAGCTTAGATATATACGAGGGGTAAGAGATAGTGAGGAGTCCTAGACAATGTCTATGCTTTTAGTTTAAGGAACTAGGAGGATGATGCTGCCTTCTACATGTATCAGAGAAGGTAGAACAGGGCAAAGGTTTTGGGGGAAAAGACAATGAGCTTTATTTTGAAAATATTGAGCTACTGGACATCTAATTTGAGATATCTGAAAAGTAGTTGGGAATGGAAGATAGGTGGTCAGCTGGGAGGTTGGGGCAGGATAGATAGATTTGAGAATCATCTGCATAGAAATGGTAATTAAAAATCAAATGGGAGTTGATGGGATCATCAAGTAGTGTAGAGAGAGAAGAAAAGAAGGTCAAGGACAGAATCCAGTAGGATACCTATAGTTAGAGGGTGTGACATGGAAGAGGATCCAGCAAAGGAGACAGAGAAGAACTGGTCAGATAAGTAGAAGTAGAACCAGGAGAAAGGCTTGCCCTAAAAACCTAGAGAGTAGAGAGTACCAAGGAAGAGTGGATGATCAACAGTGTAAAAGGCTATAGAAAGGTCAAGGAGAATGAGGACTGAGAAAATGCCACTGGATTTGGCAACTAAGAGATCATTAATAACTTTGGAGAAGGCAGTTTCTGTGGAAATGTCAGAAGGAAGATTACAAGGAGAAAAGAATGGGAGGAGAGAAGGTTGGAGACACCTATTGCAGATGGCCTTCTCAAGGAGTTTAGTCTCAATAGGCAGAAGAGATATGGGACAATAGACAGAAGGGGTGGAAGGATCAAGAGAGGGTTTCTTCAGTTATATGAAGACATAGCCTTTAGGGAATGAGAGCCAGAAGACAGGGAGAGGTTGAAAATAAGTGACAGAAAAGGAATAAGAAAAGGGGCTTATCTGTTGGAGATGGAATGGACTGCGATTGATTGAACAGTTAAGAGGGGTGTGGCTTTGGGAAGGAGTCACTTCATCATGTGAGACAAGGGAGAAGTAGTGTCAGAAGTCATCTGATAGGAGAAAAAGGAGAAAAGAAGGGGCTCACAGTAAATGGTCTCTTTTTTTCCCTAAAATATGAGGCAAAGATCTCAAATGAGAAGGTGAAGGGACCTGGAGAAATCTGAAGATAGATGAAAAGGTTTGGAAGAACTGTTTGTGGGGAGTAGCCGTGGTGAGTTGATAAGGGAGCAATAGTAAGATTGTGTGGCAGCAGTGAGGGCCCAGTTGAGGGTGTGTAATATCAATCTGTAGTGGATCTAGTCAGAATGGCTGATGTGATTTTTCTCCCCACATGAATAGAAGCAAAGATGGAGAATGGAGGGAGTGATCCAAGGCTGAGGTTTGGCAAGGGGTAATCAGCAATATGATTAAGGGGGGAATAAAGATGCAAGGGAGGAGGGCACTATAGAGTTGTGATGGTTTACCAAGGGGTCAAGATGGGGAAAAGAGGAGAGAGTGGCCAGTAAAGGGTAGATCACCTAGAGAGAATTGAGGGACACTGGGACTGTAGGTCACAGTGAAAATGAAAAGTAGGGTTTTGTAAGGGAAGGCAGAGGCAGAGAAGGAAAGTCAATAGCTTATCTTCAGATAAGTTGATTTTGGAACTGCTGAATATGAACTTATTACATTTGTGGGAGGAGGCAAAGAATTACTGTATGACCATTTTTGTGTGTGACTGAGGTGGGGTAAAGGAAGTAGTTCATGGGGAGTGAATAGGATGAGGAACTGAGTAGTATGGGTATTTAACAGAGAGCCAATATATATATGTTGAAATCTAGAATGATGGAAAGAGACTCAGGAAGAACAGAAAAACTGGGAGTCACATATTCAAGCCATGTACCTAACTCACTGAAGAAGGAAGGAGAGTGACTTATCAGATTATAGACAACAGTTACCAAGATTTTGATTGAAATTCATGCATAAAAGGAAGATAAGCCTCAGTTTCAAATCTCCTGTAGCCTGTGGCCCTACATAAAACAGAGATAATAGTAGTACCTACCTCTCAAGGTTGTTGTGGGGATCAAATGAAATAATATAAATATTATTACCAGTAATATCATTACCGTCATCATTATTGCTGTTGTTATTAATACCATGTTAAAATGAATGCACATATTTTAAAAATAAGGACATATAATAGATTGTTTCAAATGCAATTTGTTTTATTATTTTCTTTTTAGTTCATGTTTGTTGATGTTTGTCAAGTTTATAATTTAAAAAAGAATATTTTAAAAATTCATTTTATCTAATTTATAAGGGTCTGCATATCTAACATCCAAGCAATGTGTCATAGAGTACATGTAGCTTAGCTAGGCTTCAGGAAAAGAAACTGGAAAATATTATTTCCTCTGAGTCAAGTACTGTGCTTTTTTCTCAGTAAGTCTGAATAGTACACCAATTCAAATGCCCTATGAGTTGGGTACTCAGTAGTTTGACAAACTTTCAAAGTCTGATTTAAATGGAAAAACAGACAATTGTGAGATCAATTCCACAGGCTGCATTCAAAATCAATTTAGTTGGGAAAGGTTCCAGAAAACCTTCTTAGAAGGAATAGATAACTGCCCAAAATATTTTTATCCTTCCTGCTTAGATAAGTTTCCATTTAAAATGTACAATGAGCAAGTAAAACAGACAAATTACTAGATGCTTCAAAGAACCTACAACATTTATTATACATATGCAGCTTGATCAAGAAGATAAATGGATCAATAATACACACAGAATGTCTGATGTAACAAATTCTGATAAAGTTAATTGCAGGATGAGCATGGTAGAGAGAATAATAAAAAAT